GGGGAGGAGAATAGGGAAGGCTGCTGTGAACAGGGACTGCTAGACTCTGAGCAAGTTGAGACCAAGCTGTCCAGGACACTGCACCTCTGCATTTTAAATGTAGTAAGAACCTGGCAGCTCTTACTACATATAAAATGCAAAGTTATAGCGTGGGTGGCTCCCAGAGCTGCTGCGCGCTGGGACTGCTCAGTCCTGGCTCAAGCCAGCTCCTGGAGCTACCCCCCACTGCAGCTCTGCAGAGCAGCCCTTATCAACTAATCGTGTAGTCAATACAAATTGTTTTCTAATGTGCACTGCTGTCACTTACAAAGTAAGGGTGTTAAATTGTGGTTATGTGGCTAATCGTGTAGTCGATACAATCTCAGCTCTACCTATACAAAGGATAGGAACTAAATTAGCTGTTACTACATAAGATCTTGGTGTCATCTTGGATGTTTCTATGAAAACATCTGTTCAATGTGCAGCAGCAGACAAAAAAAGCTAATAATGTTAGGAACCAGCAGGAAAGGGATAAGACAAGACAAAATATCATTATTCCACTATATAAATCCATCATACACCCACAACCTGAATACTCTGTGTAGTACTAATTGCCCCATTTAAAAAACGATACATAAGAATAGGAAAAAGTACAGAGAAGGGCAACAAAAATTACTACTGGTTTGGAATAGCTTCCATACAAGAAGAGATTAAAACGAGTGGGACTATATAGCTAAGAATAAATAACTGAGTGGGGAATATAATAGGAGGGCTCCAAAATCATGATTGGTTCACTCTCTCAACACAAGGAAGTAGTGTTATTTTCTCCTTTCCGTAACACATGAACTAGAGATCATGCAGTGAAATTAACAGACACCATATTTAACACAAAAAGGAAGTACTTCATGTAATCCAATCAATCCCTGAAGTTTGTTGCCAGGGGACAAGGTGAAGGCCAAAAAGTATAGCTGCGTTTAAAAAACAACCACCACCACCCCCCAATCATGGAGAGAGGTACATCAAGGGCCCTTAGCCAAGATGATCAGGGATGCAACCCTATGCTCTGGGTGTTCCTTAACCTCTGACAGCTAGAAGCTGGGACTAAATAAAAGGATGAATCAAAAAGTAAAATGTCCTGTTCTGTTGACTTGCTCTGAAGCATCTGACACCAGCCACTGTAGGAAGATGGGATATTGGGCTGGACAAGACCATTGGTCTGACCCAGTGAGGCAATTCTGATGCTTTTAGGGTGAGGCTGCATGTTTAAAATATAGCAGATGAAAATACTTGGGTGTAGGAACATTGGAATTGTCAGACCTCGTCAGCCAGCAGCTTGAAAAAGATGCTTCTGAGAAAGGCACCAGAAGCCTAACAGAAGAACCGGCCTGTAATGGTGGCTTGCTTTCCACTTATCAGGCGAGGCTGTTTTACAGCTCACACATGTGGATTTATACCCTTAGATCAGGGCTACTCAACTTTGGAAGCTCTGGGGGCCACAATGATACTCACAGCACATGCCAAGGGCCACAACTTAAGTGTGGTTGTGTATACGTGCAAAAAATTTCTCACATTGATGGGCATGAATACATAGATTAAGGCAAGACTACACAACACACAGGCCCCATTGAAGTCAGTTTGCCTATATTAATACAATGCAATATTTACCCGATTTCCACCCATACAACAGCACTTTTAACGAACAATGACAGTCCAGGAATGTAATTATTAAAATACATATTAACAGAAGACCATTATATCGACTACTGTTTTTTGGCTCACACCCGCGGGCCACGTGTTGAGTAGCCCTGCCTTAGATGATGTAAGTGCAGAAGCCAACATTCATATAGAAGTCTAATCTGACTCCCACAGATCCTCCTTGCACTCAGCGATGCCCTGTGGAAGAAGCAATGTCCATAAAGCACTACATAAAGTATAGTTACAGGTGTCTTCAGAGCTGCTCTGCTTTCTCCAGGGTACCAGAACCCAAACCCCAATGCTCCAGCACCCAATATGGAGCAGGGACTCTGCCTCTCTCATATCTTCTGGCAAAAGACTTACCTGACAAACTGATCCCTGCCTCCCACAGCAAACTGGTGCGTATTTGCTGGATTCACATAAATGGTGTAGAGACCCACTTTCTTTTCTTTCTCCTTAGTCACAACCAGTTTCCTTTAAAGGGGGAGAGAAGAAAATCCATGTGTTAATGCAAAACAGTATCCAGATGGCAAATGCATGCATGTCTCCAAGCTCACTCATCATGCTCACATTAGGAGGGAACCCCCCCCCCCCAAAACAATAGGATTCCAAACTGAAGTATATTGTTCTCTGAAACTTTATAGCAGTTCCTAATAAAACAGTGGAGTGAAGTCATTTTCTGGCTTTTTCCTTCCAACAGAATTTAGTAGAGGGGATCCAAAATGGTACATACCATTTTATCCAACAGCAGAAACAGTTATGCTAAAATTATTCTAGCTAGAAGGGTAAGCACACAGTCAGCCTGTGGAACTCCTTGCCAGAGGATGCTGTGAAGGCCAAGGCCTTCATAGGGTTCAAAAAGAATTAGATTAATGGAGGTTAGGTCCATCAATGGCTATTAGCATGGTAGGAATGGTGTCCCTGTTAGCTCTTAATTAGTTGACTGATAAAACTAGCAGCTCTTAATACATTTAAAAGGCAGAGCCACAGCGGGATTAGCTCCTGGGCTCAGGAGCTAACCCTGCTGCAGGTCTGCACCCTCCACCCCCAACCCATATCAACCAGTCAATAGAAATTCCATCAACTAGCTGGTAAGACACCATTTAACATCCCTACTCTGAATGGATGACAGGAGAGGGATCACTTGATGGTTACCGGTTCTGTTCACTCCCTCTGGGGCACCTGGCATTGGCCACTGTTGGAAGACAGGACACTGGGCTAGGTGGACCTTTAGTCTGACCCAGTATGGCCGTTCTGATGTAGAGGAATATATATAGTTTAAAAGCATCTTGTCTCAAACCTTTTACTTCGATTACAAAGCAATCAAAATGCATGATATGTACAAACTAAGAACGGTTTATGTAAGAGGATATGCTCAGATGTGGTTTACTTTGAACTTCTTTAAATCGGCTCATCAGAAAAGGACTAATGTTACTAAACTAGAAAACTGCTGTAAAAGCAACCTACATATTTTGGAAAATTGTCCAAAGCGACAGCTCAACATGTGATACAAGGTTAAAAATCTTACCCACCACAACCAGCTGCTAGTTAAATTATTATTTTTCAATGAACTACCACAGAGTTTAGCAAAGGAGGCTTCGGCTAAAAGCTTTTCAAGTGCAAGACTAATGAAGGGTCTGAAGCGTGGTAATGAATCAAACAGACCAGGTAACAGTCTCTTGCACCTGTCAAAACCTCTTTCAGACACAATCACATTGATATATAGTGAAGAAAACAGATGTGCACTGTTTGCACATGCATGCAATTCAGCCCTGGACGAAGCCCATAGAACACTGCAAAGGTATCTGCGGAAGCTAGCGCTCACACTGTAGCATCACGATAGAGTAGGGGGACCCCAGGAGGACAGAAAGTCTAATTCAGAGAAGCTGACAAAGGGAGAAGCAGACAGATGGGTCATCCATGTGGGTCATCAAACATCTGCCAGATGGCTCAGACAGCAACAGGGTGGACTCAGACCAGTCATAAAAACTGCATATCCCAGCCATTAACAAATGTCTTAAGCCCTCCAGTCCAAAGGGGATAGTGATTTAGTCATTAAATGATTCTCTACAGCAGAGTAAACAGTTTGCCTTGCCAACTTTATTGCTGTCAGGTAAGCCTGTCTCTAGGCCAGGCTGATAAAACCCTTGCACTACAGACAGCTAGCAAGACCCAAGGCCAAATTAAAATGATCAAGTACACATTTCACCTACACCACATTCAAATGGCCTCTGAAACCATTAGGCGCTTAGACACTTCATTGATTCATCAGGAAGCAGCAGCAAACATCAAGGAAAGATACTCACGAAGCAGGACGGTCTTGTCTCAGGTCGATGGTGAAGACCACAGCATCTTCGCCAGCTGATAAGAAAGTGCATGGAGAATCCGGCTCTAGGGCTAGCTGGAAGATAAATGCTTTGGGATTGGCTCCCTTTTTTAACCAACATGCCGGACAAGACTCCTTCTCCGTGTAGACCACCCTCCCTTCCACCTGAAGTCGTACAGCATGTCAATAAGGCCTCAGAACCTGGAACAGGGTGATGTTTGATTTTTAATCGGTCAGTGGGAGCGGGACAGGCGCAGCTGCCTTTAGACTGAAGAGGGAAAATGGGCTGTGAGCTGCATCCCCTACTTCAAAGGGGGCAGAATTAGCTATGAGGGCCCATTTCACAGGGTACTCTAGAGCGCAGCAGGCTGAGCAGACCTTGGCAGGGGGAGAGGGAGCATTTAGTCAAGTTGTTAGGGCAGATCAATCACAGTTTTGAGATCTGTAAGGAAAGAGGTGGAAGGAGATCAGTTTGCATCGCCTACCTCAGGTTAGCCATGCTGGTTAGGGTTAGTCCTAGCACATCACTTAGGGTATGTCTACACTACAGCGCTAATTCGAACTAACTTAGTTCGAATTAGTTAATTCGAACTAAGCTAATTCGAACTAACGCGTCTAGAACTAAAAACTAGTTCGAATTAGCGTTTTGCTAATTCGAACTAGCAAGTCCACATTGAGTGGACTCTGAACAGGGCTTAAGGATGGCCGGAAGCAGTGCCGGCAGGGCATCAGAGGAGGACTTAGAGCGTGGAGATGCTGTCTCAGGCTAGCCGAGGGCTGTGCTTAAAGGGTCCCGACCCCCACCCCGGACAGACAGTTCTCAGGGGTGCCCCACTTGCAAAGCAGTCCTGGCTTGGAGTGCCCGGAGTACCCACACTGGGCACATCACACCACTCGGCCATCAGACCGGCTGCACTTGCCGCAGGCTGCCATCTGGGGAGAGGGGAAAATTGGGGGGCTGCAGGAGAGCTTCCACCCCCAGAAGCCCGCAGAGCCAGCCCAGTCCTCCCCATCGGGGGCTCGTACCCCATTCCTCCCTCACCTCCTTCCACTTACCCTTCCCTAGCCCCCCTTCTTATTGATGTACAAAATAAAGATAACGTTTCTTCCAACATTGACTCTGTCTTTATTGAACAAAACTGGGGGAGACTGGGAAAAGGAGGTGGGAGAAGGGAAGAGAAAGGCTGGGAGAGGGGAGGGCAACTAACATGATCAGGGGTTGGGAACAGGCCCCAGATGAAGAGAGGCTACAGAGACTGGGACTGTTCAGCTTAGAAAAGAGGAGACGGAGAGGGGACAGGATAGAGGTCTCTAAAAGCAGGGGTTAGGTGGAGAGGGTGCATTCAGAAAAGTTCTTCCTGAGTTCCCATAAAGAAGGACTAGAGGACACCAAAGGAAAGGAATGGGTAGCAGGCTTGAAACTAGTAAGAGAAAGTTGTTGTTCTTGACAAAGCAAATAGTTAACCTGTGGAACTCCTTGCTGCAGGAGGCTGTGAAGGCTACAACTAGAACAGAGTTTAAAGGGAAGTGAGATCAAGTCATGGAGGTTGGGTCCATGGAGTAGTCTTAGCCAGGGGGTAGGAGTGGTGTCCCTGCCCAAAGTTTGTGGAAGGCTGGAGAGGGATGGCACGAGACAAATGGATTGGTCACTGTCTTCAGTCCATCCCCTCCGGGGTCCCTAGGGTTGGCCTCTGTCGGCAGACAGGCTACTGGGCTAGATGGACCTTTGGTCTGACCCAGTACGGCCATTGTAAGCTCAGGGCTCAGTGTCGGGGGTCTCAGTGGACCCCCTTGATTTTCATGCACACCTGGTCCTGGGTGGCCAGGCTGGCAGCTCTCCTGCCCTAGACGGCCACTTTCCTGTGCCTAGTGCGGAGATCGTGGACGAGGTCCACGATGTCCACATGGCTAGGTGCTGGCAGGCTTGCACCTGGCATGGGCACCGTAGCCAGCCTGTGCCCCTTTAAGGGCTCCAGGGCTGGGAGGGGGGCATACGAGTTTCCCTGGTGTTGGCCAGAGTGGCCACCAGGGAAACCTGGGGAGGGCTAGCCTCCCACTAGTTCGAATTAAGGGACTACACAGCCTTTAATTCGAACTAGTAAGTTCGAACTAGGCTTAATCCTCGTGGAATGAGGATTACCTAGTTCGAACTAAGCGCTCCGCTAGTTCGATTTAAATTTGAACTAACGGAGCGCTAGTGTAGCGCCTATGAAAGTTAGTTCGAGCTAACGGACATTAGTTCAAGCTAACTTTGTAGTGTAGACATACCCTTAGATGGGACTGGTAAGACAATGCACACCCTTCATTGCCTGCCCTCCTGTGTTCAAGGTGGCGGCTGTTTACCTATTTCAGTAGTGCCCAGAGGCTCCGTCTGCGGTTGTGCTTGGAGCTACCCAGAGGCACAGTCCCTGTCCTGAGGCATTACTACCGGAGATCAGGGCTCAGTCACTTGCTCCTCTGACCAGCTGTGCCAATATAATTGACGCTTTAACCTCACAGGTGAAAGTGCTTCAAGAGTGTCACTGAGATCCACCCTGTCAACATTTCCACACATTGCCCAATGGAAAGGCACAGTGGTAAATGTATAGGTACCCAGTGGCTATGCTAGACACCAAGCAGATTGCAGCCCATCCTGCCTTCAGCCCAGATGACATGCTCCATTAGTCAGTATCTTGCATATAAGCGGAGGAGCCACAAACGGACTGAGACAGAGCATGCTGGGATATGCAATTTTCATGGCCCACAGGCCATATTATAGATCACCTCCCCATGCTGCACTTCAGCTTCCCCTCGCCCCCAGCATAAATGCATCCCTGCCACAGTGACCATAAAAATAAGTGGCGTAGCAACAAGCTTCATGAACTCCAGGAGAGAACGGTTACTGGGAGCAATGGGCAAGGGAGGGTGGCAGAACTCTTCCTTTGGGAAGTATTTTGCAGTCCTAAGGACTCCTCGGGGGATTGGGTGCTGGGCAGTACAGCTACAGACTGCATTCAATGTCGGTAAACTTTGTTCTGATCTCAAAGTTAGGAGTCACAGGGAGCACAAGGGACTTGTGCGCAAATCAAGAGAAAGATGCTACAATTGCACTGAGGAGGGGCCTGAGGAGATGAAAATGATCTGCAACCCTCGGCATAGTGTGCTCCACAGAGCCCAGAAGGAAATCCTCAGAGCCCAATGTTTTCAGAGGAAAGCCCTGGACAAGGAGACAGTCCAAATCTTACCACCTTGGAAGTACAAGACATCCCAATTTCCAGGGGCAGGTGTTCCCTTAGCAGTGACTGGAGAATGGACACGCCAGTTTTTCCCAGCCACACCCCACTGAGTTAAAGGAACACAGCAGTTTCAGAGGAAACCTCTGCATCAAGGGAGCAGCGGAAGGCACAGACCTTTCAAATCATGCTTTAACCCTGATGGATGTTTGCAAACACTGAAAATAGAAGGGGCTACAGAAGGGTACTGGCCAGTGCCATGGTTACTCACGTATAAACAATTTTTTACACCACCAAATGTACAGAGCAGTCCATCCACTGGGACCTCAATTACACCTACGCCTGCACACCAGACAGAAACCGCAGCTAGTTTGCTCACCTTATGCGAGGCTCCCTTGTGCTGTGCCACACGCTTGGTATTTCTGCAGCACTGGGTGGCTGAGAGTTCGGCTACCCGGACCTGGCCATCCCGAGCGCACATGGCTAGAGTTGAGTCGCCGCTGTTGGGAAGGAACTTGGCCTGGAGGAGAGCAAGAGGAGATACTGTGTCCCTCCAGGCCTGGGAACAGCTGCCTTCCCACAGTCCTTGGGGTTGGAACCCTTCTCGGTGGAACCCCTGCTCACCCTCCACCCCAAACATGCAGCAGGACCTGTAGACTGTGTATACAGGCCAAAACCAGTCCCAAGTTGTAGTGCCAGCACCAGTGGCAACTCACTGCAGGTCACTAGCTCTCTGCCTGTGTGTTATGTGTAAGGCAGGAGAACGACTAGTAAGACTGCCCTTCGGGGGAGGCAGGGGGAGACTGCAAGGGCTGGTTTGGAGATCATGCAGTACTTCAAACAAGGTTTGAATGATTCACCAGCAACACTACTGTAGCCAGAGAGATGCACTGCACAGTGCAGTGGCAATGCCCTAGTTGAGAATCCCAGCATTAACTCCAGCTTAAAGTCTGAAGAGACGGAGAAGCTGGGATGCCCAGATTTGCTCCGGACTCGTATGAAAGAGCCGCTGGTGAGCAGGTGGGCTAGAACATGAAGTCCCTTCCCCCTTGAGCTACTAGAAAGCCCAAGTTCTCTGCTCTCCCTGCCATTGCAGAGCCCTCTGCGGGGGTGGTGGCTGTTCCACATGGCCTTTCCCAACCTCTCTTGCGTTCCTCTTCCCCCAACAAGTCCTGCCTCTGCTTCCAGCTTCCCCCAAGGAGCAGACGACCTGACTGCAAATTCTGAGCAGCAGCTGCAAGAACCAGAGTCTGGGGGAATTACAAACACAGCTGAGGTGCTACTAGCAGACTTGGAAAGACAATCCCATGGTGGTCTGCCTTTGGGAGGCTCTTCACAGCCACATGGGCTGGAGACACTATGAAAAAACTCAGTTTCTGCAGGAAGGGCTGGCACTGGCTCTCTCTTCCCAGGGAGAGGTTCTGACTTGCTAGTGGCTTTGAAAAATGCAGCACATCTACTGCCACCTCCAGCAGCTCCACACTTCAGACAGGCAGGGAGGAAAGAAGGGCTTGTACCATGGTAAGGAAGTTTGGTATTATCCCCAGTTAACATCTGGGGCAAGCTGAGGTACAGCGATTTACACAGAGCCTTCCAGCAAATCAACGGCAGAGGACCCTCAAATACTAGCACAAGACACCTACTCACAGCAGTTTCAACACATTCAGATACTTTCACCTCTTTGCAAATGTAGTAAAGGGCCAAGTTTTTCTGCCTTGTTTTGAGCAGAGTGGGAGTGGGTGGGGGTAGATGCACCTCCAGTCCCTGCAGCCACCTCCACCTTCCCTCACACTCCCCCTAGCCCCTCTCACCTGGAAGACATTACTCTTGTGGCCGCTCTCAAACTCCAGCACCGGCTGCCTCCTGACCCAGTCCCAAACCACCACCTTAAGGTCATCACTGCCACTTGCCAGCCACGTGCCACGCTGGTTAAAGTGCAAGGTATTGACACAGCCGCCGTGCCCCTCTAGGCCGTGCTGGAGGTGGAAACGTTGCACGAAGACCCTGGCCCCGCAGGCCTCGTAGACAAAGCGTGAGCTGGAGCCCAGTTCTCTCCCCCGGAGGGCACGCACCGCCTGCCAGCGGGGCCGAGGAAGAGCAGTCGTCTCCGAGGCCACCCAGTCCTCCAGTGCTCGTTCATCATCCGAGGAGTCTTGATCGTGGTTGGCACGTTTGCGCTGGGCACGTCGCCGGGACCGCTGCTCCTCCTCTTCTTCCTCTTCCTCCTCCTCGTCCGAGTGCGACCGGTCATGGGCCCGGTTTTCCTCATTGATTGAGTAGTGGCCTGTGTCATCCATGCTGTCTGAGTCCTTTTCTTCTCCTGAGCTCTCGGTGTCTGTGTCCCGGCTCTCTGTGCTGGTGCGATTGGGTCCTACATCGTCTCCAGTAAGGCTCAGGCTGAGGTCAGAGGCTTCCACTTCAATGCCTGAGGAGGTCTCTCGCCCCTCCTCTGCTCCGGACATTTCTTCTGGGCTGCTGGACAAGCTCCCTGCACAGTACAGACAATGTGGTTAGTTCTAGGGTAAATAACGTCACATCTCTACAGCACCAAGGGATCCCCAAGTATCTACAAACCACTGTTGAAATGCAGCCACTTCCAAGGTGGAGACCAGCACTACAGAAGGGGGAAGAAATTCCAGCCAAGCCCCTATACTTATGAAGGGTACACAGCACGTATTTAGAATGAACGAGACATGAGGGTATGGTCTGGTCAACAGACCCAGAACCTCCGTTAGATAAGCCTTCATTTAGCTCCCTGAAAGGCTCAACTTTCAGAGCTAGAGTCTATTCTCAGAAATCTCTGCTTTTCACACCTGATGTTTAGATCACTAGGACATCCCCCTTGGGTAACTAACTCAGGAACAAGCCTCTCGGCAATTGTTTTGCTCCCATTTATTACATTTTTAATTGCAGCTCAATCCAGGGATCATAATGTGCCTCCTGTTATTTTTCCATTCCCCTCAACCCTTTTACCCACCCTTGTTTTCGTTTCTCCTCCCAACTCTCCTCGAAGCATGAAATTAACCCCTTCCTCTCACGTTCGTTAATATGAGCAAAGATTGCTACACACAAGCTCAGGATTCTGAAGCCTACACTCATTTCACACATGCCAAAAAAAAAAAAGTCTGCCCCCAGTTGGAATACCTTGCCTAAGGGCTTTAAACAAAATTCGACTCCCACGTACAGAGGAGCAGAGTCTAGGCAGGCGTAGGATGTTACCTGGTATTCGAACAACAGCTAGCTTTGCCATGCTTCGGGGGGTTCTCTAATGTATTAGGCAACAATCCTGCTTACACAGACATACGCTGCGGCTTCTTCATGACAAAGGCTATCTGAAGGCCAGTTCTGCTTTTTAAGGGTTTCTCTGCTGATCCTCCTCCACCTGAAGAAGATCCATCCATCCTCTGATTCAAAGGATTTTGTAGGAGGAGACAACAGTGGAGCAGATTATTAGTGAGTCTCCAGAAGTCAATAGAAGTTATGTCACTGACTTCAGCGGAACCAGGAATTAGTCCACAGATCCTATCCTAATGCAATTTTGATGGGGAAGAAAACACTGATATAGGGACAGAACGAGAGTTTTCCCATATTGCAGGATGCTTAGTTAGGAGATCTGATTCTCCCATATCACCTTAATCAGCTTCCATAGAACTAAGTGAACAAATCAGAGTACGTCACATTTGATAAACGTAGCCTCTTTTGCTGCCCATAAATAGACTACAGGCAGTCCCCGGGTTACGTACAAGATAGGGACTGTAGGTTTGTTCTTAAGTTGAATTTGTATGTAAGTCGGAACTGGTACATATTGTAGGGGAAACTCTAGCCAAACATTTCTCCAGAGCTCAGTTTTATTCTCCCACACCTCACTTCCCTCAGTCCTTTATTCTCAAGCTGAGGTGTCTGCTGAGAAAAGCCGCTCCACCTCTCCCTGGTCTGCTGGGCGGGGGGGACACTAGCTTCGCGTCTCCCTGGTCTGCTGGGGGGAAGCAGCTAGTGCGGGGTTGCCTCACCCCGTTTGTAACTAGGGATCCAATGTAAGTCGGATCCATGTAACCCGGGGACTGCCTGTACTGTTTTTCAGAGTATACGTTAACCAAAGCTATTTAATTAATACTTTGTGCTTACAAATTCTTGCCTACAGAGCGATGGTTAGTACTCAAATCATTTTATGGAACACTCCGATGAAGAATTTGTTTGGTCCCGGTGTTCATTTTGTTCAACATGTATTTTAGTGCTACGTCCAATATTGCACTGTACAAAAACTGACACTAAAAGCTCTTTGAATAAGTATTCACAACTGGCAAATTCAGAGTTTTGTGAACATGCTCAATGAAACCACTGCAGGTTTCCAAATTTCTTTCACTGAGTGCTAGGCTTAAGCACAGACAACTCAAAGGGGGTCTTCACCCCTACCCTTACCATTGGCTATATCTGTTTTTCCATCAGCGCTATTCCCCTTATCCGACATCTTGTTTCCTTGTGGGCCCAGCCTGAATAGGAGAGATTAAAAAACAAGAGTTGGCAAACAGCAAGACAAGAGATCCCCTCTGAGATCATTTCATAAAGGCCATGGCTTTCTAATACAGGCTCCGTCTAGTAAGTGTGCATCTCCTAGGAGCAAGCTGCAGTGGCTTGGCCCTGTGTACTGAGAAACAATACCACTTTTCAAACAGGGAAGAATACTTAAACTTGACTGTTTACCACAGGGTATGTACTATCCAATGCAATATAGAAGTGATAAATGTAACATTTTCTCCAAGGCTTCTAGAGTTAGATTGACAAGAGACAGACAAGTGTGAGTGTGTGTTGTGAATAGCGACATTTCCTCAGTAAATGTCTACAAAATCCATAGCACCTTCTACCTCAAAAGGATCCCAAACCTATGCCCAAGCTATACAGAGGAAAAACTTTGCTCACCATTTCTGGAATGGAAGGTGGCTGTGCATTATTTAAAAACTGCAACATTGCATAGCAGCTGGCTGTTCACAGTAAGGATGTTAAAATGCAATTGACTAATAGTCAATAGGCACTTTTCTGCATTCCTCCTTTGAAGTGTACAAGAGCACCTGCCGGGGCTCTTGTACACTTCAAAGGAGGAATGCAGAACTCGGCATACAGAAGTACTGCTGACTCCTGACTGCACTGGGTGTGCCTGCTTTGCAATGCACAAGAGTCCCCAGCAGGGGCTCTTGTGCATTTCAAAGCCAGGGAGCCAGAGGTCAGCGGGGGACACTCAATCCTCCGCAGACCCTGGGCTCCATGCTATACAGCATGCTGCTAGGAGATTGGGGTAAGCAGGGGAGCCCCCAGCTGACCCTGGGTTCTGCACGGCACTTGCCTAGCTGATCCCGGGTTCTGGGGAAATGCCACAGGGAGACTGGAGTCAGCCAGGGAGTCCCCAGCTGACCCCAGGCTCCACGGCAGCTGCCCCTTCGAAATACATGGAGATGGTGTTTTTAAAAAAGCAGTTGTGGAGTCCGGGGTCAGCCGGGGACTCTCCAGCTGATCCTGGGTTCTGGGGAAATGCTGTGGGGAGTCCCCAGCTGACCCCGGGCTTAATTGCCCCTTTAAAACGGAGATGCCATGGACTATCCCCAGGTGACCCCAGTGCCCCTTTGAAAGGTGCACAGATTGCATTTTAAAGGGGCAGCCGCTGCACAGCTGATATGCAAATCAGCTGTGCACTGGCTGCCCCGCGGTTTCAAAGGGGCAACATCACTATGTGGCACTGCCCCTTTGAAGTACCCTCTCCCCACGCTTTGCTGCCTCTCTCATAGAGGCAGTGGGGGAGGAGAGGAAGGGACGGGAGATATCGACTAGCTGACTAGTCAAAATACTATCTGATAAGCATTTGCTTATCGGATAGTCGACTAGTCTTTCATATCCTTAGTCCACAGAGGACACTCAGGAAATGTAATGCAATCACTCAAGGTCACATTTAGCCAGGTTATTGGGAACACCATGCAAACTCTGGTAGTCCTGTTAATAGTCACGAATGGTTACATAAGAATGACCGTACTGGGTCAGACCAAAGGTCCATTTAGCCCACTAGCCCATCTGTCAACAGTGGCCAGCACCAGGTGCCCAGAGAGGGTGGACTGAAGACAATGATCAAGCGATTTGTCTCCTGCCATCTCTCTCCAGCCTCTGACAAACAGAGGCCAGGGACACCAATTCTATCCCCTGGCTAATAGCCTTTTATGGACCTAACCTCCATGAAATTATCTTGCTTCTCTTTATACTCTGTTACAGTTCTAGCCTTCAGTCTCCTCTGGCAACGAGTTCCACAGGTGGACTACACGCTGTATGAAGAAGAACTTTCTTTTATTAGTTTTAAACCTGCTACCCATTAATTTCATTTGCTGTCCTCTAGTTCTTCTATTATGGGAACTAATAACTTTTCTTTATCCGCCCTCTCCACACCACTCATGATTTTATAGACCTCTATCATATCTGCCCTTAGTCTCTTCTAAACAGAAGAGTCCCAGTCACGTTAGCCTCTCTTCATATGGGACCTCCTCCAAACCCCTAATCATTTAGTTGCCCTTTTCTGAACCCTTTCCAAGGCCAAAATATCTTTTTTGAGGTGAGGAGACCACATCTGTACACAGTATTCAAGATGTGGGCGTACCATAGTTTTATACAGAGGCAGTAAGATATTCTGGGTCTTATTCTCTATCCCTTTCTTAATAATTCCTAGCATCCTATTTGCCTTTTTGAACGCTGCTGCACTCTGTGTGGAAGTTTTCAGAGAACTGTCCACGATAACTCCAAGATCTCTTTCCTGATTTGTCGTAGCCAAATTAGCCCCCATCATACTGTACGTATAGTTGGGGTTATTTTCCCGATGTGCATTACTTTACACTTATCCACATTAAATTTCATTTGCCATTTTGTTGCCCAATCAGTCAGTTTGGTGAGATCTTCTTGGAGTCCCTCACAGTCTGCTTCTGTCTTGACTATCCTAAACCGTTTCGTGTCATCTGCAAACTTTACCACATCACTACTTACCCCTTTCTCCAGATCATTTATGTTATCATATTGTTATTGGAGCAAGTAAATAACTTTTTCTAACTTATTTTCTCCATTCAGATCATGAAGGTATCTAGGTTGCAGAAATCTACTAGCCCCATCCCTTTTATATGGCCGTGCTCACTGCAGAAATAATCATCAGGGAGTGGAATCTGCTAATTTTCCTGCTAATTTTCAATACCACAGAAGTTCAAATCAGCCATGGACTAGAATCTGGTCCTAGGTCCAAACCCTTTGGTTCTCTTAACAATGCATTGATCTGAATCTCAACTTTGTCCCTCAAGATCTAGTTTTAAAGTTATTTTCTAGTAGAAATAAGCCTTTTCCTTTTTCTAGGTAGAACATGTAATTTGGGAGACTGGAAAGCATTGTTTCATGTTTTTAACAGTGTATGTTTCATGCTGAATACCACTTTTAGAAACTAGATGGACTTTCAGAAGCTAGGCGGATGGCATGTTACAAAATGATTATTTATTTAATGACTCATAATCCATGTGTCCTGGATTTCACTTCTGAGGAATTAGTCTTAAATGGTGTAACACTGTCAAGACAGGGTGTTAGATGTCAAATCATTGTAATAGCTACTTTTGTGTGTGATCCAATATGAAATTTCAGCAGTCAGTAGCTGGAATGCATGCATCTATTTAATCACTGTTGGACTTGATTCATGATTGCAGAGAAAAAAAATCAGAAAGAACCTTTGAGTGCCAAGTATTACACTTCAATAAATTAAACATTAAACCAAATACTTATCTTTCCACTTTTTGAATATCCAATTCAAGTTAGCTCTTGCCAACAGAACTGGCCATATGCCTATCTATAATTGATATGAAATCACTACCTACTTTAAAATAACTTTTAAGTCTCATAGAAGAATATCATATTAAACTAGGTTCGACAGGGACAGGTGAGCAAAGCCCACAGGTAAGTGGAGATCATGGGGACCTGGGAGATGGGTCGGAAATGGGAGGGAGCGTGGGCTACAATGGCAGAGAGAAAGGAGGATCAGGGCAAAACTGGGAGGCAAGGTCAAATCAGGATATTAGATGCCTATATACAAATGCGAGAAGTATGGGAAATAAGCAGGAAGAACTGTACGTTCTAATAAATAAGTACAATTATGACATTGTTGGCATCACAGAAACTTGGTGGGATAATACACATAATTGGAATGTTTCTATAGAAGGGTACAGCTTGCTCAGGAAGGATAGACAGGGAAAAAAGGGAGGAGGTGTTGCCCAACTAATTTGCTTGGCACTGAAGTTAGACTTAACGGTCTGTAATTGCCAGGATGGCCTCTAGAGCCCTTTTTAAATATTGGTGTCATGTTAGCTAACAGAAGGATAGGTTAAAAACCACAGATAATAGTTCAGCAATTTCCCATTTGAGTTCTGTAAGAACCCTTGGATGAATGCCATCTGGTCCCGGTGATTTGTTAACGTTAAGTTTTTCTATTTGTTCCAAAACCTCCTCTAATGACACTTCAATCCAGGACAGCTCCTCAGATTCACCACCCACAAAGGACAGTGCAGATTTGGGCATCTCCCTAACATCCTCAGCCGTGAAGACTGAAGCAAAGAAATAATTTCATTTCTCTGCAATGGCTTTATCGTCCTTGATTGCTCCTTTTATATCTCTATCATCTAGGGGGGACACTGGTTTTTTAAGCAGGCTTCCTGCTTCTAATGTACTTAAAACATTTTGCTATTTCTTTTTGAGTGTTTGGCTAGCTATTCCTCAATCCTTTTTTTGCTTTTCTTATTACATTTTTATACTTGATTTGACAGTGTTTATGTTCCTTTCTATTTATCTCACTAGGATTGGTCTTCCACTTCTTGAAAGATGCCTTTTTGTCCCTCATAGCTTCTTTTACATGGTGGTTAAGCCACGATGAATCTTTTTTAGGTCTTAGTATGTTTTTTTTAATTTGGGGTAAACATTTAAGTTGGGCCTCTATTATGGTGTCTTTAAAAAGTTTCCATGCAACTTGCATGGATTTGGCTCTAGTCACTGTGCCTTTTAATTTCGGTTTAACTAACCTCATTTTTTTGTAATTCCCTTTTTTGAAATTAAATGCCAGAGTGCTGGACTGCTGAGGTGTTCTTCCCCGCCACAGGAGTGTTAAATGTTATTATATTATGGTCACTATTCCCAACTGGTCCTGTAATGGTTCTCTCCTGGACCTGATCCTGCACTCCACTCAGGACTAAATCGAGAATTCCTCTCCCCTTGTGGGTTCCTGTACCAGCTGCTCCAAGAAGCAGTCATTTAAGCCATTGAGAAATTTTCTCTCTGCTTCTCTTCCTAAGGTGACATGTACCCAGTCAATATGGGGATAATTAAAATCCCCCATTATTATAGAGTTTTTTTTATTTTGGTAGCCTCTCTAATCTCCCTCAGCATTTCAATGTCAGTATCACTGTCCTGGTCAGCTGGTCAATAATATATCCCTTCTGCT